TTCTCTTCACTGTGTGTGTGACTGTTCTCTTCTCCTTGTGTGACTGTGTTCTCTTCTCCGTGTGTGTGACTGTGTTCTCTTCTCAGTGTGTGTGACTGTGTTCTCTTCACTGTGTGTGTGACTGTGTTCTCTTCTCCATGTGTGTGTGACTGTGTTCTCTTCTCCGTGTTGTGTGACTGTGTTCTCTTCTCTGTGTGTGTGACTGTGTTCTCTTCTCCGTGTGTGTGACTGTGTTCTCTTCTCCGTGTGTGTGACTGTGTTCTCTTCTCCGTGTGTGTGACTGTGTTCTCTTCTATGTGTGTGTGACTGTGTTCTCTTCTCCGTGTGTGTGACTGTGTTCTCTTCTCCGTGTGTGTGACTGTGTTCTCTTCACTGTGTGTGTGACTGTGTTCTCTTCTATGTGTGTGTGACTGTGTTCTCTTCTCCGTGTGTGTGACTGTGTTCTCTTCTCTGTGTGTGTGACTGTGTTCTCTTTTCCGTGTGTGTGACTGTGTTCTCTTCTCTGTGTGTGTGACTGTGTTCTCTTCTCCGTGTGTGTGACTGTGTTCTCTTCACTGTGTGTGTGACTGTGTTCTCTTTTCCGTGTGTGTGACTGTGTTCTCTTCTCTGTGTGTGTGACTGTGTTCTTTTCTCAGTGTGTGTGACTGTGTTCTCTTCACTGTGTGTGTGACTGTGTTCTCTTCTCCATGTGTGTGACTGTGTTCTCTTCTCCGTGTGTGACTGTGTTCTCTTCACTGTGTGTGTGACTGTGTTCTCTTCTCCGTGTGTGACTGTGTTCTCTTCACTGTGTGTGTGACTGTGTTCTCTTCTCTGTGTGTGTGACTGTGTTCTCTTTTCCGTGTGTGTGACTGTGTTCTCTTCTCCGTGTGTGTGACTGTGTTCTCTTCTCTGTGTTGTGTGACTGTGTTCTCTTCTCCGTGTGTGTGACTGTGTTCTCTTCTCCGTGTGTGTGACTGTGTTCTCTTCTCTGTGTTGTGTGACTGTGTTCTCTTCTCAGTGTTGTGTGACTGTGTTCTCTTCTCAGTGTGTGTGACTGTGTTCTCTTCACTGTGTGTGTGACTGGTTCTCTTCTCTGTGTGTGTGACTGTGTTCTCTTCTCTGTGTGTGACTGTGTTCTCTTCACTGTGTGTGTGACTGTGTTCTCTTCACTGTGTGTGTGACTGTGTTCTCTTCACTGTGTGTGTGACTGTGTTCTCTTCACTGTGTGTGTGACTGTGTTCTCTTCACTGTGTGTGTGTGACTGTGTTCTCTTCTCTGTGTGTGTGACTGTGTTCTCTTCTCTGTATGTGTGACTGTGTTCTCTTCTCCGTGTGTGTGACTGTGTTCTCTTCTCTGTGTGTGTGACTGTGTTCTCTTCTCCGTGTGTGTGACTGTGTTCTCTTCTCTCTGTGTGTGACTGTGTTCTCTTCTCCGTGTGTGTGACTGTGTTCTCTTCACTGTCTGTGTGACTGTGTTCTCTTCTCCGTGTGTGTGACTGTGTTCTCTTCTCTGTGTGTGTGACTGTGTTCTCTTCTCTGTGTGTGTGACTGTGTTCTCTTCACTGTGTGTGTGACTGTGTTCTCTTCACTGTGTGTGTGACTGTGTTCTCTTCACTGTGTGTGTGACTGTGTTCTCTTCACTGTGTGTGTGACTGTGTTCTCTTCACTGTGTGTGTGACTGTTCTCTTCTCCTTGTGTGACTGTGTTCTCTTCTCCGTGTGTGTGACTGTGTTCTCTTCTCCGTGTGTGTGACTGTGTTCTCTTCTCAGTGTGTGTGACTGTGTTCTCTTCTCTGTGTGTGTGACTGTGTTCTCTTCTCTGTGTGTGTGACTGTGTTCTCTTCTCTGTGTGTGTGACTGTGTTCTCTTCTCCGTGTGTGTGACTGTGTTCTCTTCACTGTGTGTGTGACTGTGTTCTCTTCACTGTGTGTGTGACTGTTCTCTTCTCCTTGTGTGACTGTGTTCTCTTCTCCGTGTGTGTGACTGTGTTCTCTTCTCCGTGTGTGTGACTGTGTTCTCTTCTCTGTGTGTGTGACTGTGTTCTCTTTTCTGTGTGTGTGACTGTGTTCTCTTCTCCGTGTGTGTGACTGTGTTCTCTTCTCTGTGTGTGTGACTGTGTTCTCTTCTCCGTGTGTGTGACTGTGTTCTCTTCTCTGTGTGTGTGACTGTGTTCTCTTCTCCGTGTGTGTGACTGTGTTCTCTTCTCTGTGTGTGTGACTGTGTTCTCTTCTCTGTGTGTGTGACTGTGTTCTCTTCTCCGTGTGTGTGACTGTGTTCTCTTCACTGTGTGTGTGACTGTGTTCTCTTCACTGTGTGTGTGACTGTTCTCTTCTCCTTGTGTGACTGTGTTCTCTTCTCCGTGTGTGTGACTGTGTTCTCTTCTCCGTGTGTGTGACTGTGTTCTCTTCTCAGTGTGTGTGACTGTGTTCTCTTCTCTGTGTGTGTGACTGTGTTCTCTTCTCTGTGTGTGTGACTGTGTTCTCTTCTCTGTGTGTGTGACTTTGTTCTCTTCTCCGTGTGTGTGACTGTGTTCTCTTCACTGTGTGTGTGACTGTGTTCTCTTCACTGTGTGTGTGACTGTTCTCTTCTCCTTGTGTGACTGTGTTCTCTTCTCCGTGTGTGTGACTGTGTTCTCTTCTCCGTGTGTGTGACTGTGTTCTCTTCTCTGTGTGTGTGACTGTGTTCTCTTTTCTGTGTGTGTGACTGTGTTCTCTTCTCCGTGTGTGTGACTGTGTTCTCTTCTCTGTGTGTGTGACTGTGTTCTCTTCTCCGTGTGTGTGACTGTGTTCTCTTCTCTGTGTGTGTGACTGTGTTCTCTTCTCCGTGTGTGTGACTGTGTTCTCTTCTCTGTGTGTGTGACTGTGTTCTCTTCTCCGTGTGTGTGACTGTGTTCTCTTCTCTGTGTGTGTGACTGTGTTCTCTTTTCTGTGTGTGTGACTGTGTTCTCTTCTCCGTGTGTGTGACTGTGTTCTCTTCTCTGTGTGTGTGACTGTGTTCTCTTCTCTGTGTGTGTGACTGTGTTCTCTTCTCCGTGTGTGTGACTGTGTTCTCTTCACTGTGTGTGTGACTGTGTTCTCTTCACTGTGTGTGTGACTGTTCTCTTCTCCTTGTGTGACTGTGTTCTCTTCTCCGTGTGTGTGACTGTGTTCTCTTCTCCGTGTGTGTGACTGTGTTCTCTTCTCAGTGTGTGTGACTGTGTTCTCTTCTCTGTGTGTGTGACTGTGTTCTCTTCTCTGTGTGTGTGACTGTGTTCTCTTCTCTGTGTGTGTGACTGTGTTCTCTTCTCCGTGTGTGTGACTGTGTTCTCTTCACTGTGTGTGTGACTGTGTTCTCTTCACTGTGTGTGTGACTGTTCTCTTCTCCTTGTGTGACTGTGTTCTCTTCTCCGTGTGTGTGACTGTGTTCTCTTCTCCGTGTGTGTGACTGTGTTCTCTTCTCTGTGTGTGTGACTGTGTTCTCTTTTCTGTGTGTGTGACTGTGTTCTCTTCTCCGTGTGTGTGACTGTGTTCTCTTCTCTGTGTGTGTGACTGTGTTCTCTTCTCCGTGTGTGTGACTGTGTTCTCTTCTCTGTGTGTGTGACTGTGTTCTCTTCTCCGTGTGTGTGACTGTGTTCTCTTCTCTGTGTGTGTGACTGTGTTCTCTTCTCCGTGTGTGTGACTGTGTTCTCTTCTCCGTGTGTGTGACTGTGTTCTCTTCTCTGTGTGTGTGACTGTGTTCTCTTTTCTGTGTGTGTGACTGTGTTCTCTTCTCCGTGTGTGTGACTGTGTTCTCTTCTCTGTGTGTGTGACTGTGTTCTCTTCACTGTGTGTGTGACTGTTCTCTTCTCCGTGTGTGTGACTGTGTTCTCTTCTCAGTGTGTGTGACTGTGTTCTCTTCTCCGTGTGTGACTGTGTTCTCTTCACTGTGTGTGTGACTGTGTTCTCTTCACTGTGTGTGTGACTGTTCTCTTCTCCGTGTGTGACTGTGTTCTCTTCTCCGTGTGTGTGACTGTGTTCTCTTCTCCGTGTGTGTGACTGTGTTCTCTTCTCCGTGTGTGTGACTGTGTTCTCTTCTCCGTGTGTGTGACTGTGTTCTCTTCTATGTGTGTGTGACTGTGTTCTCTTCACTGTGTGTGTGACTGTGTTCTCTTCACTGTGTGTGTGACTGTGTTCTCTTCACTGTGTGTGTGACTGTGTTCTCTTCACTGTGTGTGTGACTGTGTTCTCTTCTCTGTGTGTGTGACTGTGTTCTCTTCTCTGTGTGTGTGACTGTGTTCTCTTCTCCGTGTGTGTGACTGTGTTCTCTTCTCCGTGTGTGAGACTGTGTTCTCTTCTCAGTGTGTGTGACTGTGTTCTCTTCTCCGTGTGTGTGACTGTGTTCTCTTCTCCGTGTGTGTGACTGTGTTCTCTTCTCCGTGTTGTGTGACTGTGTTCTCTTCACTGTGTGTGTGACTGTGTTCTCTTCTCTGTGTGTGTGACTGTGTTCTCTTCTCTGTGTGTGTGACTGTGTTCTCTTCACTGTGTGTGTGACTGTGTTCTCTTCTCAGTGTTGTGTGACTGTGTTCTCTTCACTGTGTGTGTGACTGTGTTCTCTTCTCAGTGTTGTGTGACTGTGTTCTCTTCTCCGTGTTGTGTGACTGTGTTCTCTTCACTGTGTGTGTGACTGTTCTCTTCTCTGTGTGTGTGACTGTGTTCTCTTCTCTGTGTGTGTGACTGTGTTCTCTTCACTGTGTGTGTGACTGTGTTCTCTTCACTGTGTGTGTGACTGTGTTCTCTTCTCTGTGTGTGTGACTGTGTTCTCTTCTCTGTGTGTGTGACTGTGTTCTCTTCTCTGTGTGTGTGACTGTGTTCTCTTCACTGTGTGTGTGACTGTGTTCTCTTCACTGTGTGTGTGACTGTGTTCTCTTCTCTGTGTGTGTGACTGTGTTCTCTTCTCTGTGTGTGTGACTGTGTTCTCTTCACTGTGTGTGTGACTGTGTTCTCTTCTCTGTGTGTGTGACTGTGTTCTCTTCTCCGTGTGTGTGACTCTGTTCTCTTCTCCGCAGCCGTACTTCGCTCTGTTCGCTGCGCTGCGATGGATTCTGACCGAGCTCGTCATGTAAGACTCGGATCTTATCAACTCTTCTCTGATGTTTAAGTTTTCCAAATCTGAAACCTTTTGTACATATGCAAAATATAAATAACATTACTGTACTTTTTACTCTATTGTGTGTGTTTTTGGATTCCTTTCTCTCTCTCCAGAAACTGCTTTCATTATTCCCCCCATTCCTTTCCTCTGCAGATTCCTGCTCGAGTTCAACCTGTACAGCTGGACCTCCGACCTCACCGTCACCGGTGTGTGTGTGTGTGTGTGTTTATGAGGCATTGTGTGTGTTAGTGTGTGTTTATGAGGCAGTGTGTTTATGAGGCAGTGTGTTTATGAGGCAGTGTGTGTGGCAGTGTGTTTGTTAGTGTGTGTTTATGAGGTGGTGTGTGTGTGTTTATGAGGGAGTGTGTGTGTGTGTGTTTGAGGCAGTGTGTGTGTGTGTGTTTATGAGGCAGTGTGTGTGTTAGTGTGTGTTTATGAGGCAGTGTGTGTGTTGGTGTGTGTTTATGAGGCAGTGTGTGTGTTAGTGTGTATTTATGAGGCAGTGTGTTTGATAGTGTGTGTTTATGAGGCATTGTGTTTGATAGTGTGTGTTTATGAGGCATTGTGTTTGATAGTGTGTGTTTATGAGGCATTGTGTTTGATAGTGTGTGTTTATGAGGCATTGTGTTTGATAGTGTGTGTTTATGAGGCAGTGTGTTTGATAGTGTGTGTTTATGAGGCAGTGTGTTTGATAGTGTGTGTTTATGAGGCAGTGTGTTTGATAGTGTGTTTATGAGGCAGTGTGTTTGATAGTGTGTTTATGAGGCAGTGTGTTTGATAGTGTGTGTTTATGAGGCAGTGTGTTTGATAGTGTGTGTTTATGAGGCAGTGTGTTTGATAGTGTATTTATGAGGCAGTGTGTTTGATAGTGTGTTTATGAGGCAGTGTGTTTGATAGTGTGTTTATGAGGCAGTGTGTTTGATAGTGTGTTTATGAGGCAGTGTGTTTGATAGTGTGTGTTTATGAGGCAGTGTGTTTGATAGTGTGTGTTTATGAGGCAGTGTGTTTGATAGTGTGTGTTTATGAGGCAGTGTGTTTGATAGTGTGTGTTTATGAGGCAGTGTGTTTGATAGTGTGTTTATGAGGCAGTGTGTTTGATAGTGTGTGTTTATGAGGCAGTGTGTTTGATAGTGTGTGTTTATGAGGCAGTGTGTTTGATAGTGTGTTTATGAGGCAGTGTGTGTGTTTTAGCGTGCGCACAGTCGAAGTTCAACCCTGTTTGTACTCATGTCTTATAAATGAGGTCTGGATGGATCCCATTTTCCACATTAAATGTAAGTGAGAAAACTGCAAGACTTCAGGATGTTTATGGATGTTTATGGATGTAAGTTAACTAGTGCTCAAAGCTCTAGTCAGGCATGTCACAGTGCACTAACTGTCTTCATGATGAGACTTATATATGTCAAAATGCATGAGTTGTGACACTCAGTCACTGGTGATCTGGAGGAATGAAGTGTGCATGTTAAAGCAGGTCGAGCAGAACTGCACTTCTGCCACTCATGCTTGTGTTTACATTATTCTGTACAGTATTTGTATGTTCCTTGAGTGATAGAGCCTTGCCGTAGGAAACAGTTTGAAGAACAATGTCTCTCTATGTCTCTCTCTCTCTCTCTCTCTCTCTCTCTCTCTCTCTCTCTCTCTCTCTCTCTCTATCTCTGTGTCTCTCTCTCTATCTCTGTGTGTGTCTGTCTCTCTCTCTCTCTCTGTCTCTCTCTATCTCTGTCTCTCTCTCTATCTCTGCGTGTCTCTCTCTCTCTCTCTCTCTCTCTCTCTCTCTCTCTCTCTCTCTCTCTCTCTCTCTCTCTCTCTCTCTCTCTCTCTCTCATCTCTCTCTCTCTCTCTCTCTCTCTGTCTCTCTCTCTCTCTGTCTCTCTCTCTATCTCTGTGTCTCTCTCTCTAGCTCAGAGAGGAGGCAGAACTCTGCTGGTCCCCTGTGACACCGAATATCCAGCGTTCGTGTCTGAGCGCACCATTAAAGAAACCGTGGGGAATATTGACTGTGAAAGCTGTGTTAAGTATGTGCAATACTTACAACCACACAAACACACGCACGCACACACACACACACACAGGACAGTTGGGGTCAGCTGAACACACACCACACAACCTTCATATGGTCAGTTCACTCACATATAATTATTTACACTTAAATACTCCTTTTCCATCTAAACAGTGCTGGTTTTCATGAAGGAGAAACAAGACTTGGAAACAATATATTGGTCAACTGAACACTTTGCATTGTGCATTTACATTATCAATAGCTCTGTTTATTATAATGAGAGTAATATTTTTTGTGATATATGTGAATGATGTACAAGAGAGGGAGAGAAAGGAAAAGGGACGAACAACTCAACTTAAAGCTGTTCATTTAAATGCAATTTTACAATGCTATTAATTATATTAGCATTGTAACTTATAAGTTTCATATTTATATATTTTACGTTATATATTTTGCTTTTGCCTTTTTGTTTGTTTAGTTTATTTAATCAGAAACTATCCATTCTCACTCCCAAGTTGTCAAAAACGGAAGTATGGTCAAGCCCCATAGTGTAACTATTAGACACTAAACGTGCACCTACACGTCGCTGTATCGACAAACTATATATCAATGATTTTTATATATATTTATAATTTCATAATTTTTTTGAGTACCAAACCCCACACCGACCATAAACATAAACAATAACCCTAATCAATAACATAAACATAAACACTGACCCTAATCAATAACCTAAACATAAACACTGACCCTAATCAATAACCTAAACATAAACACTCACCCTAATCGATAACCTAAACATAAACACTGACCCTAATCAATAACCTAAACATAAACACTCACCCTAATCAATAACCTAAACATAAACACTGACCCTAATCAATAACCTAAACATAAACACTGATTCTAATCAATAACCTAAACATAAACACTGACCCTAATCAATAACCTAAACATAAACACTCACCCTAATCAATAACCTAAACATAAACACTCACCCTAATCAATAACCTAAACATAAACACTGACCCTAATCAATAACCTAAACATAAACACTGACCCTAATCAATAACCTAAACATAAACACTCACCCTAATCAATAACCTAAACATAAACACTCACCCTAATCAATAACCTAAACATAAACACTGACCCTAATCAATAACCTAAACATAAACACTGACCCTAATCAATAACCTAAACATAAACACTCACCCTAATCAATAACCTAAACATAAACACTCACCCTAATCAATAACCTAAACATAAACACTGACCCTAATCAATAACCTAAACATAAACACTCACCCTAATCAATAACCTAAACATAAACACTCACCCTAATCAATAACCTAAACATAAACACTGACCCTAATCAATAACCTAAACATAAACACTGACCCTAAACAATAACCTAAACATAAACACTGACCCTAAACAATAACCTAAACATAAACACTGACCCTAATCAATAACCTAAACATAAACACTGACCCTAATCAATAACCTAAACATAAACACTGACCCTAAACAATAACCTAAACATAAACACTGACCCTAAACAATAACCTAAACATAAACACTGACCCTAATCAATAACCTAAACATAAACACTGACCCTAATCAATAACTTAAACATAAACACTGACCCTAATCAATAACCTAAACATAAACACGAAACATAAACACTTACCATAAACAATTATCTAAACATAATCAATAACCTAAACATAAACACTGACCCTAATCAATAACCTAAACATAAACACTCACCCTAATCAATAACCTAAACATAAACACTCACCCTAATCAATAACCTAAACATAAACACTGACCCTAATCAATAACCTAAACATAAACACTGACCCTAATCAATAACCTAAACATAAACACTGACCCTAAACAATAACCTAAACATAAACACTGACCCTAAACAATAACCTAAACCTAAACACTGACCCTAATCAATAACCTAAACATAAACACTGACCCTAATCAATAACCTAAACATAAACACTGACCCTAAACAATAACCTAAAAAAACACTGACCCTAATCAATAACCTAAACATAAACACTGACCCTAAACAATAACCTAAACATAAACACTGACCCTAAACAATAACCTAAACATAAACACTGACCCTAATCAATAACCTAAACATAAACACTCACCCTAATCAATAACCTAAACATAAACACTCACCCTAATCAATAACCTAAACATAAACACTGACCCTAATCAATAACCTAAACATAAACACTCACCCTAATCAATAACCTAAACATAAACACTCACCCTAATCAATAACCTAAACATAAACACTGACCCTAATCAATAACCTAAACATAAACACTGACCCTAAACAATAACCTAAACATAAACACTGACCCTAAACAATAACCTAAACATAAACACTGACCCTAAACAATAACCTAAACATAAACACTGACCCTAAACAATAACCTAAACATAAACACTGACCCTAAACAATAACCTAAACATAAACACTGACCCTAATCAATAACCTAAACATAAACACTCACCCTAATCAATAACCTAAACATAAACACTGACCCTAAACAATAACCTAAACATAAACACTGACCCTAAACAATAACCTAAACATAAACACTGACCCTAATCAATAACCTAAACATAAACACTGACCCTAATCAATAACCTAAACATAAACACGAAACATAAACACTTACCATAAACAATTATCTAAACATAATCAATAACCTAAACATAAACACTGACCCTAATCAATAACCTAAACATAAACACTGACCCTAAACAATAACCTAAACATAAACACTGACCCTAATCAATAACCTAAACATAAACACTGACCCTAATCAATAACTTAAACATAAACACTGACCCTAATCAATAACCTAAACATAAACACGAAACATAAACACTTACCATAAACAATTATCTAAACATAATCAATAACCTAAACATAAACACTGACCCTAATCAATAACCTAAACATAAACACTCACCCTAATCAATAACCTAAACATAAACACTCACCCTAATCAATAACCTAAACATAAACACTGACCCTAATCAATAACCTAAACATAAACACTGACCCTAATCAATAACCTAAACATAAACACTGACCCTAAACAATAACCTAAACATAAACACTGACCCTAAACAATAACCTAAACATAAACACTGACCCTAATCAATAACCTAAACATAAACACTGACCCTAATCAATAACCTAAACATAAACACTGACCCTAAACAATAACCTAAACATAAACACTGACCCTAAACAATAACCTAAACATAAACACTGACCCTAAACAATAACCTAAACATAAACACTGACCCTAATCAATAACCTAAACATAAACACTCACCCTAATCAATAACCTAAACATAAACACTCACCCTAATCAATTACCTAAACATAAACACTGACCCTAATCAATAACCTAAACATAAACACTCACCCTAATCAATAACCTAAACATAAACACTCACCCTAATCAATAACCTAAACATAAACACTGACCCTAATCAATAACCTAAACATAAACACTGACCCTAAACAATAACCTAAACATAAACACTGACCCTAAACAATAACCTAAACATAAACACTGACCCTAAACAATAACCTAAACATAAACACTGACCCTAAACAATAACCTAAACATAAACACTGACCCTAAATAATAACCTAAACATAAACACTGACCCTAATCAATAACCTAAACATAAACACTCACCCTAATCAATAACCTAAACATAAACACTGACCCTAATCAATAACCTAAACATAAACACTGACCCTAAACAATAACCTAAACATAAACACTGACCCTAAACAATAACCTAAACATAAACACTGACCCTAAACAATAACCTAAAAATAAACACTGACCCTAAACAATAACCTAAACATAAACACTGACCCTAAACAATAACCTAAACATAAACACTCACCCTAATCAATAACCTAAACATAAACACTCACCCTAATCAATAACCTAAACATAAACACTCACCCTAATCAATAACCTAAACATAAACACTCACCCTAATCAATAACCTAAACATAAACACTCACCCTAATCAATAACCTAAACATAAACACTGACCCTAATCAATAACCTAAACATAAACACTGACCCTAAACAATAACCTAAACATAAACACTGACCCTAAACAATAACCTAAACATAAACACTGACCCTAAACAATAACCTAAACATAAACACTGACCCTAAACAATAACCTAAACATAAACACTGACCCTAAACAATAACCTAAACATAAACACTCACCCTAATCAATAACCTAAACATAAACACTCACCCTAATCAATAACCTAAACATAAACACTCAACCTAATCAATAACCTAAACATAAACACTCACCCTAATCAATAACCTAAACATAAACACTCACCCTAATCAATAACCTAAACATAAACACTGACCCTAATCAATAACCTAAACATAAACACTGACCCTAATCAATAACCTAAACATAAACACTGACCCTAAACAATAACCTAAACATAAACACTGACCCTAATCAATAACCTAAACATATACACTCACCCTAATCAATAACCTAAACATAAACACTGACCCTAATCAATAACCTAAACATAAACACTGACCCTAAACAATAACCTAAACATAAACACTGACCCTAAACAATAACCTAAACATAAACACTGACCCTAAACAATAACCTAAACATAAACACTGACCCTAAACAATAACCTAAACATAAACACTGACCCTAAACAATAACCTAAACATAAACACTGACCCTAAACAATAACCTAAACATAAACACTGACCCTAAACAATAACCTAAACATAAACACTGACCCTAAACAATAACCTAAACATAAACACTGACCCTAAACAATAACCTAAACATAAACACTGACCCTAAACAATAACCTAAACATAAACACTGACCCTAAACAATAACCTAAACATAAACACTGACCCTAAACAATAACCTAAACATAAACACTGACCCTAAACAATAACCTAAACATAAACACTGACCCTAATCAATAACCTAAACATAAACACTCACCCTAATCAATAACCTAAACATAAACACTCACCCTATTCAATAACCTAAACATAAACACTGACCCTAATCAATAACCTAAACATAAACACTGACCCTAAACAATAACCTAAACATAAACATTGACCCTTATCAATAACCTAAACATAAACACTGACCCTAAACGATATAGAACACGTAACAGGCAAATAAAAGTACAGCAGAGTTATACTTCTGTTGCAAGCTTTTATCCAAAGTAAGGGAGAAGATGACGATTAAGAAATGAATCATTATCCTTAAATCTTCCATCTTTAGCCCTAGTGCATTAATGTGCAGGTGAAGAGCTTATTCATGTCAGTTTATGAACACTTGTCTGCCAGATTCCATACAGCATTGACGCCTCTTCATCCACACTCGTCTTCTTTTGGAGCAGATATAGAGGCATTGTGAAGTCTTTGAATCTCCCGGTCTGCCTCCTGTCCTCCTCAGGTCGTTTGTTATCCAGCAGATTCCCAGCAGTAACCTGTTCATGGTGGTCATCGACAACACCTGTGACTGCAGCGAGCTCGGCCCCGTCACCATGGACCCCGTCGAAATTATGTATATCCTTAATAAAGAAGCAGGTGCTTTCACCATCATTTTATTAATTTGGTAACACTTTAGTTTAGGGTCCAATTCTCACTATCAACTAGCTGCTTATTATCATGCATATTAATAGCTTATTGGCTGTTAATTAGTACTTATAAAGCACATATTAATGCCTTATTCTTCATGACCATATTCTACATCCCTTAATCCTAAACTTAACAACTAACTATTGATAAGCAGTAATAAGGAGTTTATTGAGGCAAAAGACAGTTATTAGTTAGTGAATAGTTAGCCTGGTTAAAACCAGAGCATTCTCAGTTGTAACTAAGTTATGGTCTGGCAAAGCGTCATAGACAAATCATTTCCAGAGGGGCGTCACCAACGGATAGAGCTAACCAATCAGAGCGATGAAGGAGATGACGTATGCAGAGCGGCGGAGACACATCTCCGAGTGTTGTTCTTTGCTCGGTTTTTAACTAAAAGGAAACGTTCAAATGGCTTAAAACAGACGCGATAGCTGATTGGAACGAGTGATGTTCGACGGCGGCGTCCATCTTTGTAATGTAGGCTACAAAATCTGCTTCAAAATCCCAGCGCTGTCGTCATCGTGTAACGCCCGGCCCAACGCTTCTGATTGGTGCCTCGATCTCGACGCATTGTAAATGGGCTTGAATGAGCTCTTTGCCAGACTAACTTTCAGAGCAAATCTAAATTTGCCGGAAGTTGTCTGGGTTTTCCCAGGCTAGTGAATAGTGAGAACTGATCCCTAAACTAAAGTGTGACCTATTTTGGTCATTCAAGTATCTTTGCTCAGTCTGAACATAATGCTTATAAGTTTATGCAACTGCCAATTATCTTTTGTAGACACTGTCTCTATGGTCTCTGGTTTCCTCTGTTTTCAAAAGCGTCCTCTGTCGTATTTTCCCCTTAATTTCACTGCACATAACGAGTCTCTGAAATGTGAGCGGTTGAAGTTTCAGAAGGACAGAAGACGCCCGGACACGTGCCACCCCTTCCATCACGAGGTACAGGAGCAGAGCCCTCAGCTGCGACAGACCTTCAGGAAGGATTTAATATCCATTCACTGCTGCACAAGAATTACACGATCAATAAGTTATGGCAATATATGTTTTTACATTGCTTTTACTCAGTTATACAGTTATACAAGATCCAAGTCAGTTTAATGTAATTTAAGTTGAAATGACTTAAACAACCAAGTTGATTGCACTTAAAAATCATCTTTTGTTGCAGTGTGGAAGATGCTATTCGCAGACCAGCATGCATTACTAGCATTTGAACGTATTAAATATTTTATTCTTTTGTAATAGCAATTCCATGGCACCATATTGTCAGCGATCTTTAGAGTAAGAGTTGACTAATATCTGCTGGTTTTTTGGTAGAATCCAAATCATACGCTAAAAACTCTTCATATTCCATTCCTGCAGTTCAGTAGATGGGATGTTACGCTGTTACATGAACATTAGAATCAGAATTTTCCAGCTTTCATACATTGCCATAGAGTTCATAATTCTGATTTGAAGTAATTTTGTCCATGTTTGATCGTTCCTCAGGAGAACTCGATGGAGTGTGGCGGATCCGAGAGCGTGACTCCATCACTAACAGCTTCAGTTCTGCTACTCCTGATAGTCCACCTCTTTCCCAGGTGATGACAACAGGCTCCGCCCCTTTCCCATGTGATGACAACAGGCTCCACCCCCTTTCCCATGTGATGACAACAGGCTCCACCCCTTTCCCAGGTGATGACAACAGGCCCCGCCCCCTTTCCCTCCTTCCCATGTGATGACAACAGGCTCCACCCCCTTTCCCTCTTTCCCAGGTGATGACAACAGGCTCCGCCCCCTTTCCCTCCTCGGCCAGCATGCAAAAAGTGATCATATAAATATCGATTTACACTGGAAAACTTAACTCATCAGAATCACATAGACAGCTACAAAAAAATGATATTTTAAGGGAACACTTTATATTTAAGGTCTCATTTATTAAACATTAGTTAATGCATTGACTAACATGAACTAACAATGAGCAATATATTTTTACGGCATTTATCAACCTTTGTTAATGTTAGTTAATATAAAAAAGTTTGTTTGTGTTAGTTCACAATGCATTAACTTATGTTAACATACAACTTTTTATTTTAATACTGTATTTGTAAATGTTGAGATTAACTAAGATTAATAAATGCTGTAGAAGTATTGTTCATGTTAAGTAATGTAGTTAACTCATGTTATCAAATGAAAGCTTACTGTACAGTCTTACCATATTTTATGTTCACATAGGTAATAGGAAACATCTTACAAGCAAGGCTACAGGAGACTGGTAACTGTGCTAATTAACGGAATTTAAGTAGGATTCGTAAATGTCTACAAACAAAAACAATTGTGTCATAAATTTGAGAGTTTTTGTTCCGTAACTATTATAGTTATACTATTTATGATTTCCAGCCATACAACTGTGACCAATGCAATAGAATAGTGTATAACAAGCGTGGATGTTCTTTGTGAACATTGCCTTACAATAAGAGATACAACTGCAGTTTGTGTACTTTTGAAATAAATCTTTTTAAAAAATACAAAGAGACTAATGAGTTGATCTTTGATGATTTGTTGCTTTTTGACACTTTCATATGTACATATGTCTTACATATTCCCTTTTCAGTGAGGTGCTTCAACTTGATCTTCCACAATTGATGTGAGAGAACATCATAAACCCAGAGCCTCGATCACCCCCCGGTGGCTGGTCCCAGTATAGCTCATAAACCCAGAGTCTAGATCGCCCCCCGGTGGCTGGTCCCAGTTTAGTTCATAAACCCAGAGTCTCGATTGCCCCCCGGTGGCTGGTCCCAGTTTAGTTCATAAACCCAGAGTCTCGATTGCCCCCCGGTGGCTGGTCCTAGTATAGCTCATAAACCCTGAGTCTCGATCCCCCCCCGGTGGCTGGTCCCAGTATAGCTCATAAACCCAGAGTCTCGATCCCCCCCCCGGTGGCTGGTCCCAGCATAGCTCATAAACCCAGAGTCTAGATCGCCCCCCGGTGGCTGGTCCCAGTATAGCTCATAAACCCAGAGTCTCGATCCCCCCCCGGTGGCTGGTCCCAGTATAGCTCATAAACCCAAAGTCTAGATCGCCCCCCGGTGGCTGGTCCCAGTTTAGTTCATAAACCCAGAGTCTCGATCGCCCCCCGGTGGCTGGTCCCAGTATAGCTCATAAACCCAGAGTCTCGATCGCCCCCCGGTGGCTGGTCCCAGTATAGCTCATAAACCCTGAGCCTCGATCGCCCCCCGGTGGCTGGTCCCAGTATAGCTCATAAACCCAGAGTCTCGATCGCCCCCCGTTGGCTGGTCCCAGTATAGCTCATAAACCCTGAGTCTCGATCCCCCCCCGGTGGCTGGTCCCAGTATAGCTCATAAACCCAGAGTCTCGATCCCCCCCCCCGGTGGCTGGTCCCAGTATAGCTCATAAACCCAGAGTCTAGATCGCCCCCCGGTGGCTGGTCCCAGTATAGCTCATAAACCCAGAGTCTCGACCCCCCCCCGGTGGCTGGTCCCAGTATAGCTCATAAACCCAAAGTCTAGATCGCCCCCCGGTGGCTGGTCCCAGTTTAGTTCATAAACCCAGAGTCTCGATCGCCCCCCGGTGGCTGGTCCCAGTATAGCTCATAAACCCAGAGTCTCGATCGCCCCCCGGTGGCTGGTCCCAGTTTAGTTCATAAACCCAGAGTCTCGATCGCCCCCCCGGTGGCTGGTCCCAGTATAGCTCATAAACCCTGAGCCTCGATCGCCCCCCGGTGGCTGGTCCCAGTATAGCTCATAAACCCTGAGTCTCGATCCCCCCCGGTGGCTGGTCCCAGTATAGCTTATAAACCCAGAGTCTCGACCCCCCCCCCGGTGGCTGGTCCCAGTATAGCTCTATCCCAGAGTGTAGATCGCCCCCCGGTGGCTGGTCCCAGTATAGCTCATAAACCCAGAGTCTCGATCCCCCCCCGGTGGCTGGTCCCAGTATAGCTCATAAACCCAGAGTCTAGATCGCCCCCCGGTGGCTGGTCCCAGTTTAGTTCATAAACCCAGAGTCTCGATCGCCCCCCGGTGGCTGGTCCCAGTATAGTTCATAAACCCTGAGTCTCGATCGCCCCCCGGTGGCTGGTCCCAGTATAGTTCATAAACCCTGAGTCTCGATCGCCCCCCGGTGGCTGGTCCCAGTATAGCTCATAAACCCAGAGTCTCGATCCCCCCCCGGTGGCTGGTCCCAGGATAGCTCATAAACCCAGAGTCTAGATCGCCCCCCGGTGGCTGGTCCCAGTATAGTTCATAAACCCTGAGTCTCGATCGCCCCCCGGTGGCTGGTTCCAGTATAGCTCATAAACCCAGAGTCTCTATTGCCGCCCCGGTGTCTGGTCCCAGTATAGCTCATAAACCCAAAGTCTCGATCGCCCCCCGGTGGCTGGTCCCAGTATAGCTCATAAACCCAGAGTCTCGATCGCCCCCCGGTGGCTGGTCCCAGTATAGCTCATAAACCCAGAGTCTCGATCGCCCCTCGGTGGCTGGTCCCAGTATAGCTCATAAACCCTGAGTCTCGATCGCCCCCCGGTGGCTGGTCCCAGTATAGCTCATAAACCCAAAGTCTCGATCGCCCCCCGGTGGCTGGTCCCAGTATAGCTCATAAACCCAGAGTCTCGATCGCCCCCCGGTGGCTGGTCCTAGTATAGCTCATAAACCCAGAGTCTCGATCGCCCCCCGGTGGCTGGTCCCAGTATAGCTCATAAACCCAGAGTCTCGATCGCCCCCCGTTGGCTGGTCCCAGTATAGCTCATAAACCCTGAGTCTCGATCCCCCCCCGGTGGCTGGTCCCAGTATAGCTCATAAACCCAGAGTCTCGATCCCCCCCCCGGTGGCTGGTCCCAGTATAGCTCATAAACCCAGAGTCTAGATCGCCCCCCGGTGGCTGGTCCCAGTATAGCTCATAAACCCAGAGTCTCGATCCCCCCCCGGTGGCTGGTCCCAGTATAGCTCATAAACCCAAAGTCTAGATCGCCCCCCGGTGGCTGGTCCCAGTTTAGTTCATAAACCCAGAGTCTCGATCGCCCCCCGGTGGCTGGTCCCAGTATAGCTCATAAACCCAGAGTCTCGATCGCCCCCCGGTGGCTGGTCCCAGTTTAGTTCATAAACCCAGAGTCTCGATCGCCCCCCCGGTGGCTGGTCCCAGTATAGCTCATAAACCCTGAGCCTCGATCGCCCCCCGGTGGCTGGTCCCAGTATAGCTCATAAACCCTGAGTCTCGATCCCCCCCGGTGGCTGGTCCCAGTATAGCTTATAAACCCAGAGTCTCGACCCCCCCCCCGGTGGCTGGTCCCAGTATAGCTCATAAACCCAGAGTCTAGATCGCCCCCCGGTGGCTGGTCCCAGTATAGCTCATAAACCCAGAGTCTCGATCCCCCCCCGGTGGCTGGTCCCAGTATAGCTCATAAACCCAGAGTCTAGATCGCCCCCCGGTGGCTGGTCCCAGTTTAGTTCATAAACCCAGAGTCTCGATCGCCCCCCGGTGGCTGGTCCCAGTATAGTTCATAAACCCTGAGTCTCGATCGCCCCCCGGTGGCTGGTCCCAGTATAGTTCATAAACCCTGAGTCTCGATCGCCCCCCGGTGGCTGGTCCCAGTATAGCTCATAAACCCAGAGTCTCGATCCCCCCCCGGTGGCTGGTCCCAGGATAGCTCATAAACCCAGAGTCTAGATCGCCCCCCGGTGGCTGGTCCCAGTATAGTTCATAAACCCTGAGTCTCGATCGCCCCCCGGTGGCTGGTTCCAGTATAGCTCATAAACCCAGAGTCTCTATTGCCGCCCCGGTGTCTGGTCCCAGTATAGCTCATAAACCCAAAGTCTCGATCGCCCCCCGGTGGCTGGTCCCAGTATAGCTCATAAACCCAGAGTCTCGATCGCCCCCCGGTGGCTGGTCCCAGTATAGCTCATAAGCCCAGAGTCTCGATCGCCCCTCGGTGGCTGGTCCCAGTATAGCTCATAAACCCTGAGTCTCGATCGCCCCCCGGTGGCTGGTCCCAGTATAGCTCATAAACCCAAAGTCTCGATCGCCCCCCGGTGGCTGGTCCCAGTATAGCTCATAAACCCAGAGTCTCGATCGCCCCCCGGTGGCTGGTCCCAGTATAGCTCATAAACCCAGAGTCTCGATCGCCCCCCGGTGGCTGGTCCCAGTATAGCTCATAAACTCAGAGTCTCGATCGCCCCCCGGTGGCTGGTCCCAGTATAGCTCATAAACCCAGAGTCTCGATCGCCCCCCGGTGGCTGGTCCCAGTATAGCTCATAAACCCAGAGTCTCGATCGCCCCCCGGTGGCTGGTCCCAGTGTAGCTCATAAACCCAGAGTCTCGATCGCCCCCCGGTGGCTGGTCCCAGTATAGCTCATAAACCCAGAGTCTCGATCGCCCCCCGGTGGCTGGTCCCAGTATAGCTCATAAACCCAGAGTCTCGATCGCCCCCCGGTGGCTGGTCCCAGTATAGCTCATAAACCCAGAGTCTCGATCGCCCCCCGGTGGCTGGTCCCAGTATAGCTCATAAACCCAGAGTCTCGATCGCCCCCCGGTGGCTGGTCCCAGTATAGCTCATAAACCCTGAGTCTCGATCCCCCCCCGGTGGCTGGTCCCAGTATAGCTCATAAACCCAGAGTCTCGATCGCCCCCCGGTGGCTGGTCCCAGTGTAGCTCATAAACCCAGAGTCTCGATCGCCCCCCGGTGGCTGGTCCCAGTATAGCTCATAAACCCAGAGTCTCGATCGCCCCCCGGTGGCTGGTCCCAGTATAGCTCATAAACCCAGAGTCTCGATCGCCCCCCGGTGGCTGGTCCCAGTATAGCTCATAAACCCAGAGTCTCGATCGCCCCCCGGTGGCTGGTCCCAGTATAGCTCATAAACCCAGAGTCTCGATCGCCCCCCGGTGGCTGGTCCCAGTATAGTTCATAAACCCAGAGTCTCGATCGCCCCCCGGTGGCTGGTCCCAGTATAGCTCATAAACCCTGAGTCTCGATCGCCCCCCGGTGGCTGGTCCCAGTATAGCTCATAAACCCAAAGTCTCGATCGCCCCCCGGTGGCTGGTCCCAGTATAGCTCATAAACCCAGAGTCTCGATCGCCCCCCGGTGGCTGGTCCCAGTATAGCTCATAAACCCAGAGTCTCGATCGCCCCCCGGTGGCTGGTCCTAGTATAGCTCATAAACCCAGAGTCTCGATCGCCCCCCGGTGGCTGGTCCCAGTATAGCTCATAAACCCAGAGTCTCGATCGCCCCCCGTTGGCTGGTCCCAGTATAGCTCATAAACACTGAGTCTCGATCCCCCCCCGGTGGCTGGTCCCAGTATAGCTCATAAACCCAGAGTCTCGATCCCCCCCCCGGTGGCTGGTCCCAGTATAGCTCATAAACCCAGAGTCTAGATCGCCCCCCGGTGGCTGGTCCCAGTATAGCTCATAAACCCAGAGTCTCGATCCCCCCCCGGTGGCTGGTCCCAGTATAGCTCATAAACCCAAAGTCTAGATCGCCCCCCGGTGGCTGGTCCCAGTTTAGTTCATAAACCCAGAGTCT